CAGCAGATTCCTGGCGTTGGAAAGGTGAAGGCCATGCAGCTCCTCCAGCGATTCCCCAGTATCCATCAGCTCAGTGGAGCTTCAGTGCATGAACTGGAGCCCATAGTGGGACAGGCCACAGCCCAGCATATCACAGCATTCTTCCACAAGCAGTTCACATAGGAATGCATGTTACGAAAATACGCAAATAAACAGCATTTCAGCACTTTTTAAGCCATGCCTTGGATGTAATCGTGCTGATATTTTCAGTGTATTTCTATGAAACTGCCATATTTTATAAAGTAGTGAAACACAGTGATATTGTAGAATTTTGCCACACATTATATCAATTTCTGCAATTAACATTAGGACTTTCAACAAAAAGACAGAAGGTGGCGCTAAAACTCACAACATTGCAATTAGTGTTTGTTCCTTAGCCCCATCCCACTTCAAAGTGGGAGTTGTTGTTCTGTTCCTGTTCATTTATTTATTTGCGTATCTTTTTTGAGTTCCACAAAATAAATTTAAAAAAAAATACTATGGGGCATCTGCAGAAACAAGGGATGATATTAATAACTAATGTGTTTGTTGTACAGTTGGGCCTGAGACCACATTGATCATTTGAGATTTTCATTTAAACTTTGTAATGAAGTTATTATTATTATTATTATTAGATTTAAAAATAAAATGGATAAGCATAAGGACAAAATAAAAAATAAATACTTAAGATTCTGCCCTATTTGTATGTCTCACTAATCAAATAACCACATTAGTGGCACTGACCATGTGAACAGTCAAGGTCGCATTTATTTTCTTCCAAAATGTCAAAAAAGACAAAATTTAACAGCATTTTCACTTGTGATGTCAAACTTTTAAACTGGGCCATAATTTTTAAACAGAGCCAAATCTATAAATTCAGAAAGTAAACCTGTTAATTGGTTACGTTTTCTTACTTTATACAGTGAAAAACCTGAAATAAATCTAATGAGGCATTTTTTGTGTTTTACAGTAAAATGTTGTGTTTGTATGTTTTTATGTAATGGCACTGTGCACATGCACACAATTATCCAAATGTATTAATATTTTTATAGTTGGTATTTATTGTGGAGAAAGATAGTTGTTTATATTTATTTTTGTCAAGCTGTGATTTAAGGTGTTTGTCAGTACATTATAAAGCTAAAACAAACAATTTTAGTAATTTGCTGTACCGTACTTTTTACTGTAGCCTACTATCTGACAGGTTTGTTTTGAATTACTTGGAGTGCATAATCTGGTCTCCATCGGCCTC